CACACACACACACACACACACACACACAGACTAATGGCAACAGTGTACTGCCCTGCCTTCTAATACAGTATTTTCATTCCTTCTTCTGGACCTCTTGGAAATACCTGACTGGCGACAATTAGAGATAAAACAACTTTTTTTTTTAAGTTATTAAATATTAAGTCATTTTTTTTCTATTTCTCTTTTGGGCGCTATACTTTTTTCCCTTCACATACTGTACATTACAAAACTGTTTAAAGCTATTAGCTCCCAGAAGATTACCATACTTGTGCTACACTGAGGCGAACAGAAATACATGTAATACATACAGGTAGTCCTCAAGTTACAGCCACAATTGGGACTGGAATTTCCATCACTAAGCGATGTGGTCGTAAAGCTCTGTGGTGGCACCTCACCCCTGTAACATTCTTTCCTGAAACTTTTTAGACATTCATGCCTATTTGGAATATTAGTTGTTGTATTTTTCTATGTATGCTGCCAGTCTTCAATGTTTAATTAATATTATGTCCTTTACATTATTATTACATTGTGTTTTTATAGAGATCTCTTCATTACTGTATTATAGAATGTAGACACTCTTTCAGGTAAAATGCAAAATGCTTTTCATAATCAGTGTATATAGTCTATACTTTATTCGTAATATTTAACATTGTGTAGATATTGAGTTTCAAACCAGGTTTGCAGACAACTATATCGCTAATATCTATATTTTGTTTTTGATTAGCTTAAAATTGTGTATGTTCTTAACTGGGTAACCTCTTACTCAAAGATTGTATTCTGTGAACTGATTCCTGAATATTTATTAAAACAAGCTTGAGAGGTTAATTTCAGAAGTTGTGCAGGTGGCAATTATGAAGTAAGGCTTTTTACTTGTATTCACCCAAGGCAATCATTTTAAAACAATCTTCAACTACCCTAAGTCTGGACATGCTAAATACCATAGTTACTTTCATACCAGAGCTGTGATCAGGCAGTCATTAAAACCTGTGGAACATTTGCAATTAACTTCAACAGGTTTCTATTGCATAGAATAACTATCCAAATACTAACATTAGGTGTGGGTGTGTAATGTTGTTAACCCCGAGGATCTTATGTGAATAATATGCACATTTATACATGCAGTGGTGCTTAAAAGTTTGTGATCCCTTTTTAATTTTCAATATTTCTGCATAAATGACCTAAAATGTGATCTGTTCTCCACACAAGTTCTAAAACTAGATAAAGACAATCCAATGAAACAATTAATTAGTCAAAAACTTTATACATGTTCATTTATTCATTGAGGAAAATGATCCAAAGCTACATATTTGTGTGGTAAAAGTATGTGAACCTCTAGGATTATCAATTAATTTGAAGGGGAAATTAGAGCCAGGTGTTTCAATCAATGGGATGATAATCAGGTGTGAGCGTGGGAGGTCCTGCCTTATTTAAAGAACAGATTTCTGGGTGCTCACTATCAAAGTCTGATCTTTACAACATGGGTATGTGGAAGTGTGTCATGACTTGAGCAAAGGAGATTTCTGAGGACCTCCGAAAAACAGCTGTTGATGCTCATCAGGCTGGAAAAGGTTACAAAACTATTTCCAGAGAGTTTGGGCTCCATCAGTCCACTGTCAGGCAGATTGTGTACAAATGGAGGCAGGTCAACCCCATCGTTACCCCTTCCCCAGGAGTGGTTGACCAACCAAGATCACACTAAGAGCAAGGCGTGCAATACCCCAGGAGGTCTCAAAGGAACTAAAGGCCTCTCTTGCACTGGCAAATGTCTGTGTTCATAAGACTACCATCAGGAGAACACTGAACAACAACGGTGTGCATCACAGGATTGCAAGGAGAAAGCCACTCCTCTCCAAAAAGAACATTACTCTCTGTCTACAGTTTGCAAAAGACCATGTGGATAAGCCAGAAGGCTATTGGAAGAATGTTTGGTGGGAGGATGAGATCAAAATAGAACTTTGTGGCCTGAATGTAAAGTGTTATGTTTGGCAAAAGGCAAACACTGCATTCCAGCATAGGAACCTTATCCCATCTGTGAAACATGGTGGTAGCAGTATCATGGTTTGGGCCTGCTTTGCTGCTTCTGGACTAGGACAACTTGCCATCATTGATAGAACTATGAATTCTGAATTGTACCAGCAAATTCTACAAGAAAATGTCAGGGTACCTGTTCGTGAACTGAAGCTTAAGAGAAAGCGGTTCATGCAGCAAGTCAAGAGCCCAAAACACACAAGTTGTACAACCAAAGAAAGGTTAAAGCAGAAGAAAGTTAATGATTCAGAACGGCCAAGTCAAAGTCCTGAAATTCTAATCCTATAGAAATGTTGTGGAAGGACCTGAAGCGGATAGTTCATGCGAGGAAGCCCACCAACCTGCCTGGGTTGAAGCTGTTCTGTAAGGAGGAATGGTCTCAAATTCCTCCAAACTGATGTGCAGGACTGATTAACAGTTATTAGAAATGTTTAGTTCCAGTTATTGCTGCCCAAGAGGAGCACGCCAGTTACTGAAAGCAAAGATTCACATACTTTTGCCACACACAAATATGTAGCTTTGGATCATTTTCCTGAATAAATAAATGAAGAAGTATAATGTTTTTGACCCATTTGTTTAAGTGGGTTCTCTTTATCTAGTTTTAGGACTTGTGTCAAGAACAGATCACATTTTAGGTCATATTGAAAAAAATATGAAATATTGTAAATTCAAAAGGGTTCACAAAATTTTAAGCATGACTGTATAGCGAACGGTCAGATATTATTCACACTCATTCCTCTTCTCCTTTGCCTCCATCCACCTAAAGATCTTGAGAAGGGTGGCTGGAAAGGAAGGGAAAGCAATAAGTCTTCCCTTGCCTAGCAGCATTGTAGGGAGAAGATGGGAAAACTGACCTCTTTTGTCATATTCACTGTGAGAAAAGCAGACGCAACTACGTGTTCCCCACTTCCCAGTTATGTGACTGGCTGATCAACCGGTCAACAGACAAAGGAAGGATATTGCAATCTGCATAAATAGCAGTAAGAAATGAAGCCATTTATTTAAATCGGCTACACTGGTAGTCCTCAATTAACAACCACTCGTTCAGCAACCATTCAAAGTTATGACGGTGCTGAACAAGTGGTACTTATGACCAGTCCTTGAAATTCTGGCTGTCTCAGCACTCCCCGCAGTCACATGATCACAATTTGGGCACTTGGCAACCAGCACACACTTACGATGGTTGCAGCATCTGGTGGTCACGTGATTGCCATTTGCGACCTTCCCTGCCAGCTTCCCACAAGCAAAGTCAATGGGGAAGCCAGGAGAAAAGGTTGCAAGTTGCTCCTGTAAGTCACTCCCACTCCCTCCATTTTCCTGCATGCCCTCCTGCCCTCCAGAGCACCCACACCCTGCCCAGCCATGCTCACATTGCAGCAGCCACTTACCTGTTCGCCAGTCTGCTTGTGAGCTGCCCAGGATTTGTGACTTCCTGCTGGCTTCCCTGTTGACTTTGCTTGTGGGAAGTTGGCAGGAAGTTGCTAAGAGGTCCTCGCTAAATGACCTGTGATCCTCGCTTAACAATGGCAACAGAAACTGCCGAGATTGCTGTCGCAAAGTGATGCAGTCATGTGACATCGCACTTTATGACAGCATCATTTAGTGACAGAAATTCTGGTCCCAATTGCTGTCATAACTCAAAGACTACCTGTAATATTAAGCTCAAGGTTTATTTCCTTCTGAATGTTACTAGTTTTTCTGGGTTTTTGACAACTGTATTGGATTACTTGAGTATCTTGTCTCATATCTTCATTAACCTGTGTAACATATTATTTCTATCTCTGTACTGAAACTGTTCCAGGTGTAGTATTCTAGCCCAGTGCACTATGAAAATGGCAAATGGCATTTTCATTATAGTTTTGATATACAAAGTGTATGAATACTTATAGTCCTGCAGCCAGGCTATTACACTAAGATACCTTTGTCTCTTTGTGAAAATAAGCATTTCTACAAGCTATTAAAAATGTTTACCAAACCAGTGAAAATTTCCAGCACTGTTTCACAGTTTGACACATTTTTTCATCAATTCTTTTGTATTAAGCATAGTATTATAGTTTACTTCATATTATTTAACTCTTCAAGTAACAAACTTCCAGGTATTTATTTATTTATTTATTTATTTAATTTATTTATATTTCAAATTTGTCACCATCCATCTCACTGTGGGGTGACTCTGGGCGGTTTACAATAAAAATAGAATAAGTATTGATTGAAATAGATAAATATTAATTAATTAAAATATGTTAAAAACACACTTCCTCTATAATACTTCCAAGAGGCAGATGTTGGAAGAATCTCTGCTGGACCGGGTGGGATGGGTCGATGTAATGGGGGTGAGATGGTCCTTTAGGTAACCTGGACCCATGCCATGTAGGGCTTGGTATAGGAAGTATAATTTAGTTATGAGTAAATAATATAGTAAAAATATCATTATTATAAGTGAATTAACTGCAGTAGTGGTTACAAAACAGCAATTCATACTCTTGACAGTTAAACAAACAACGATATGTATAACAAGCATAACTACAAAATATGCCAAAAGTTCTGAATTAAGTATATTCTCACACAGACAGAATTACTTCTTTTACATAATCTTTATTTACAGTTTTGTATTTTCCTCAAACTTCCCATAATAGCACTACGGTTATGGCATACAATTTCAATCCCAGTGTAGAACCAGAAGCAGATTTTCAGGAGAAAATCTATGTCACGACCCTATTTCTAGATTAAGTGAAGCTCTTTTCAGCAAGTTATTACAAATCCCAGCTCAATATAGTTTTTTTCCTTATAATCTAGTTATTTAGGCAAACCTACAGAGGGTAGGTTCAGTTGCTTTTCCAAGTATAATATTGTAGTGTAAACTTAAAACAGTTCATTACCACCAAATAGCACCAAATATTTATCTTTTACAGTGTGCATGTTATATTCCAGTATCAAAGTGCATATGTCTATGTAAAGCTCTTAATGCTAGATGTGGTTTATATATAGTTATTTATGGAAAAGTATATAAAAATACGTGAACTGGACATCCATGATATATTCAATGAAATATGAATGTAATGCAATTTATTGTATTACATTAAATAACTTCTAATATGTCAAATTTATTTATTTGATTTTTTTATGCCATCCAACTCCATACGACTCCAGTAAAAAAAAAAAAAAAGCAAAAACAAGTAAATAAGAATGCACTAAAAAATTAAACCAGATAAAATTACAAAACAGTTACAAGACAACACACAAATCTGAAATGGGGGAGAGGGTATGTTTTCACCTTACCCCAAGACCTGCAAGAATAGTCAGGTTTCAAGACCTTCCAGAATGCTATCAGAATGGAACCTTAAATAACTTCTAATAAAATAAAAATAGAAAATATGGTTTCTAATACTATATATCAAACTCTCTAGCAAAAGTTTGAAAATGAATTAGGCTTTTTTAAAAGGATGGTGGCTGAAAATCAGATCTACTGAGTGCAGACAGAGAAGAAAAATACAGAGACAATTAGCTGTGTTCACTAAGCATTAAATTATGTGACTGATCTTTAGATTGTGCATCCCACCAGCTTCATTACTATAGACCCAAATGTGGAGATGATTTATGTGGTTAGTTTTAAGTATGGCATGTTTTAATTAGCCAACTTCATATGAAACCAGCCTGAATTATAAAGCATAGCTTAAAGTTAGTTGAGGGGTAAAGAAGTTGACCAATTGCTGTTACCTTTCCTAAGTCCTAGGAGTAAAACAAATGATAAATGTTTGAGGGTCATGTGATTTCCTCTACCAACAGGGGGAGTAAAACCAGGCCAATATAACAAACCCAAGCCTTTTGTATAAATGTAATATTGGAAGATCCCAACACATATCACAGATGGGCATGTACTGAATAATATCCCTAAATGAATTCAGTTAAGAAGATGGATATCAACCAATTAATTTAAAAGCATTTAGAACATTATCTAGTCATTAAAAACAAATTAGCTTTTTAGAAGTATCATTAACTTGGAATAATTTCGGTAGTAAAATTTGACTTTGCTTTTCTTCCAACAATATAAATATGGCATTTAAAATAAGGTTCCATACAGTTTTCATGATGACTGTAAATAATTCCATAATTAATGCAAAATAAAATATTAATGATATAAATGTCTAATGATTAGGGAGTGAATTTACTTTTTTTGGCTTCTTTGTGCAAAGCTTTAACATTAAATAAGATAATTCAAGCACATTTAAAAACATACATATGCCTGATACCACAAGCATGAAAATAGTAAACACAGTTTTTTCAGTGGGTCGGGAAATAAAACAGTCAACTGCATTTGGGCAAGGAAACTCAGTACATTTCACTAACCAAGGCATTTTATATCCTCTATACATGTAATAAAATATATACATGAAGACTGTCTCAAAGATAATTCGGAAAAAAATGCTGCTAGTGTATGTCCACCACAGGGATCCCTCAATATGAAACTTTTGCCTTTTCAGATCTTCAATGTCAACTTTCTCTCCATGTCTGTATTCCCGTTTTTTCTCATGCTTTCTGTACGCAACGTGCATTGCCACCAAAAGGGCGGGAGTGGAGACAAAGATAAGTTGGAGAGCCCAAAGTCTAATGTGAGAAATTGGGAAATACTCATCATAGCAGACATTTTTGCATCCAGGTTGTAGGGTATTGCAAGTGAAATCATTCTGCTCATCTCCCCAGACATTTTCTGCAGCAACTACAAGAATCATGACACGAAAAATAAACAGGACAGTGAGCCAGATTTTCCCAATGCTGGTGGAGTGTCTGTTTACACCTCCTAAGATGGCTTGCAGGGCTCCCCAGTCCATAACTGTGTGTGTCCTTTAGCCTATTAAGACAAAAACAATATGCCAAATTATAACTGGTTTCATTCCATAATAAAAGTTTCATGAATTGCAAGTTTCTATGTCACTATTATTAAACATATCTAGTCTGACAGGAAAGACACAGTTCTGATTTTTTTTCTTTTCTTCTCAAAACATTCTAGAAAAGGGAAGATAGAACAATAGAAATAGTACAACTTTATTGGGTCAAATGATTTATGCAGGGTTTTACAATACTTTTTTTTACATGATGTGATTCCTCCTGATGGTCACTGTAACTGTTAACAATAACTGTTATTCTCTAGTGTCTGCTGTTAAGACATAAGTGTACCACAGAGGCAAATAGATGTAATAGCCATTTGTTGTTGTGAAGAAACCCTACAAAATGTAGTTCCAGAAATGGAGATCTCTTAGCAGCACCTTCAACAGCAATGAAAGAATACAATTTTGTTAAAGATGCCAAGATCCTTCTTCAATCCCTTTTTCTTTGAGTCTATGCCTCTAAGATTGTATTACTGAGAACACCACAGTTTTTTTTATTGATTGATAAGTTTCTGGGGGAGCATTTATGGCTAAAGAGTACAGAAAATATTATTTAAATATACAACTGGTACACAACTGATAGAGGTTTGTTGCGTAGAAGTTTAAATTCCATTTAAGATGCCTACCACTAGATTTGTTTCTAGTCTACCTATATACTTGAAATATATAAATTATTGAATAATTTCTATCACTCTCTTGGTAACTAAAATTCAAATCAATTCTTGTCATTTTTCCTTGGTTGTTTCGATGTACGCAACAATACCATATCACCAATCACCAAATGAATGCTTCAATCGTATCACTGTGTTGTGTTTATCTACAAAGATAAACGTATTGTGTCTGTACTGTATATTGTTTTAAACAAATAAGTTGGTTTCATATAGTCCAAATAGGAAGGACAAGGAAACTTGTAACTTGAACTGAATTCCAGCATGTTACAATATGAGCCTGTACATACTATCCTTGAGTACTGAAGCTGACCCTAACAAAAAGTGTATTATGTCATAGATTTATATTACTTTTATTTTGACAAAGATCATTAAGATCCAGATGAAATTTATTCTTTAGAATTCAGCTAAAATCTTTAATTTATTTTTAATCATTCCTCCCAGTAGGATTTGTTTAGGATTTAAAGTAACAGTTGTAAGTCTCCATATAAATAAATTCTCAGTATAGATTATAAGGGAAAAAATCACAAAGGAATATATAGTTTCAGCTCAAATATTTGGTTACCCATTCAAGCACTTCATAACCTAATAGCTTAGTATTCAATTTCCATACAATATTCAACAAAAAGAACAGAGGAAAGTTTTCAATGTTTGCTCTTTTATCATATATTGCAGTAAATTTTTGCCAGTTCAGAAAATGGTCTCATTGGAGGCAGCACCAAGCCAGCTTTATCTTGACTCCAAACCAAAACTGTGTGAGCCTGATAAATACTTGGATGGAGGACCACCAAGAAGACCATTCCAGGGCTGTAGGCTAAGTATGGAAGTCAGAAAAAGAAAGACAAATCCCTTCCACATATTTGCTGTGAGAAATGCCTATGTCCATATACAGGTGTCAAGCTTCACTCAAGGGCATCATTACCTTTACTATAAATCAGTGTTATCCAAACTTGGCCACTTTAAGATGAGTGGACTTCAACTCCCAGAATTCCCC